AGCGGAACTTAATTTTTCCTTGACTAGACCGGTGAAACACCTGCATTCATTCGTATATATATATGTGTGTGTGTGTGTGTGTGTGTGTTTATTATGCCAGTTTACAGGCAATTTTAAAGAGAGATATATGAAAACAGTTAATTTAAAACTAAGTCCAACGCAAGATTCTATGGTTTGCCAGAATATAAGCCAATGAGCGTCATCTGCATTTAATTATCCTATGGACCTTAAAAATTGTAATTGGCATCTAAATCGACATGCCTGTTAATGCATAGCTCGTCTGAGTGTATTGTCCCCAGGAATTCGTGGCCCTTCCTAGTTGGGTAGGCGTCAATTATTTGGATTTTCTCACTTGGAAAGTTGTGGCCTGTGTCCATTGTGTGCATGGCAACCAGGGAGACGTAGTCTCGTCCTCCCAACGCCAACTGGTGTTCCTGTATACGGGTGGCTACAATAGGCTGCATCACAACTGGTACACGGCATTTTGTGGGCGATTTCTCCCCTGTTGAAATAGTGAACCCTGTCCTTAGGGTGTACGCAGTGGGTGCGCAAAGTAGTTGTGGGCTTATGAACAATAGACTTTGTTCTGTTCCCAAAGAACTTCGCTTGTTAATAATTATACCTCTTGGGATGCCGATATTTCAATGTGTATCTTTGTGCAAGTGCGTATTTGTGCCGAAAATCATTTGACGTTACCCAAAATACTTCAATATACCTTCAGACAGTAAAGGTTACTTGAGCGAGGTAACAACTCCCATTGACAAAGGACACGATCCAAAGTTAATTCATACGCCTTTGCTAGTTGGGCTTATTGTTCGATATCCAATCTAGTTCTCGACAAAGTTTTATCCTGTCGTCCATTTAACTCAAATGTGTCATTGGCTGAGTTCTCGGAAGTGCCTTATACGGTTCTGATTTTGAACTTTTACCTGGACGCCAGCTATCACTTTAGTAACTTTAAGTTCTGGTGATTTGCAGACTTTGGTATCACGAGTGAATGAAGTTGTGAACTCTGTCAGTTTATCCATAGACGCTGGAACGACCAAACTGTTTTGAAGCTGCATACCCGGCTTCAAGGAGGCATCTTTCGAGATTTATGGCAATTAACGGCTCCCCCCTACATCGAGGATAGTTGTCAGCTTGTGCGTTAATCGCTTGATGGCCGGCGCACGGACTGCGACCTGTTGAGCTGTGGTGGACTTGGACATAATGCTTACTCGGCCATCTGGCTCCCCGGCGTTGGACGCGTACGCCTGCG